CAGTGTGTTCTGCCTCCCAACAGCACCTCCCATAGCTGCTCCTGAGCACTATGAATTTTTTCCAAGGCCAGCAAAGACCTTCCAGTATACCATTTTTCCATTTTCTCTTTTATTTCCTCCTCCTTTTCACTGTGTTAAAGCTGCACTCTGGTGGTTCCCTCTGCCTAGAAAGCATTTCTCCCATGCACTTCCCATGGCTGTTTTCTTACTCAGGTTGCAGATCAAAATGTGCCTCATGAGAGAACAAATCCTCCTGTCCTTCATCCTTTCTAAAAAATCACATTACCTTCTTTTGTCTTTTGCATAACACATCACTTCCTGACATTCCTATATGTTCCTATATGTCTTTAATTTTATGGCTCCTTCCACTAGAATGTAAGTTTCTGGCCAGGAGGTGTAACTCAGTGATAGAGCATTTAGCATCTGCCCCCAGCACTGCCAAAAAACCCAAAAGATTGTAAGTAGTTTAAGATTAGGAATTTTGCTCATCACTGTTTGTGCCTAGTACCTAGTCCTTGGAGAATATTTGTTGACTGATTTGATGACTTTGAGTACCTCTATTCTTTCTCAGCACTTATAGATTACAGTGCAAAGTCTTTGTTAGGGTGGTAATGGCGAACCTTTTAGAGACTGGGTGACCAAACTGCAACCCCAAACCCACTTATTTATTATAAAGTGCCAACACTGCAGTTAAACCTGAATACTGAGGTTTTAGTTCAGAAAAAAAAAACAGTCATTATCCGATGCTCAGCTGCTAGGCAACTTGGCTCATGTGCCAACAGCTCTGCTTGCATTTGTGCCATAGGTTTGCCACCAATGTCTTAGAGTTTGCAACCTCTTATGGTGGGCCGACAGGCAGGTGTTCGTAATAGAATGGGAGAGGGGGGCAGCCCAGAGTGGACTTCCTGAAGGAAACTTGTTAGTTGATGGGGGAGCAAGCACATTGTGGTCTCTCTCTTGCCAGTTGGTTGTTGCCAGGCTGACATGATAATAGTGACAGGTAACATTAACAGGGGGATTGTGCTGAGTGCTTTACTTCTTAATTTCATTTAATACATAAACACTATAGGGAAGACATCAATACATTATCACTATTTTGTAAGCAGGGAAACTGATGTACACAGGGAGGTTAAGGAACATGTAACTTAGCAAATGTCAGGTTTGTTTGTTTGTTTGTTTGTGATGCTGAGGATCAAACCCAGGGCTCATGCACACTAGGCAAGCACTCTACCACTGAGCCACATCCTCAAAACTCAGAACTGTTTTTCTAATCCAGGGAGTCTGTCCTTAAAGTAGGGCTTTTTTCATGGTACTGCTTCCTGGTATCCCCAATCCTTATGGGGTTTTTTTTTGGGGGGGGTTGTTTTATTTTGTCTTAAGAGTGGTCAGAAATCTGGAGGTGTTTTGTTTTGTTTGGTTTGGTTTGGTTTGGTTTGGTACCAGGGATCGAACTCAGGATCTTGCGATTTTGAGGCAGGTGGCAGAATCACTGAGCTAAATTTCTGGCCCCAGAAACCTGGAGTTTTATGCTATCTTTTTTTTTTTTTTTTTCGGTACCAGGGATCGAACTCAGGTCCTTGTGCTTGCAAGGCAGGCAGCGGAACCACTGAGCTAAATCCCTGGCCCTGCTATCTTTTGATTTTACAGTGTTGGCATTCGATTCACATTTAAGAAATGTCCAAACAACTACTGCCCACTAGGCAAAATATGTCTGAATGTCCTGTGCAGCCTGAAGGCTTCAGTATTGCTGCTTTGGTTTATGTGGGTTTTCTCTGACCAGACCTGGAGCTTCGTTTGGCCATGCCTTAGGATCTTGGCACTTCAGAGCTGGATGCGTGGTTGCATGGACAGATGCAGCAGTTGTTTGCTTCTTTGCCTCTCTTGCTTGCTCCACAGTGAGTCAAAGTACTGCCTTCTGTAGCACATTGCTATTATAAAATGCTTTCATTACTTTATTTGATTTTTTATTGTTTTTTTGGTAGCAGGGATCAAACTCAGGTACTTGTGCTTTCGAGGCAGGCAAAGGAACCACTGAGCTAAATCCCTAGTCCAATCATTATTTGATTTTTGGGGGGTGGGTACCAGGGATTGAACTCGGGTCCTTGTGCTTGCACAGCAGGTGGCGATATTTGAATTTTTTTTTTTTTTTTGGTACCAGGGATCAATATTTGATTTTTTAAAAAGCTTCAGTTGGTATTGGCTATTTCCATGCTGTATGTGTTCTCAGATTCATAGTGGATCGAGAGGGTAAGACACAGGATGTGAACAAGAAGTGGTTAGTATGAGGCTTGCTGCTCTTATTACTGCTGATGAATCACTGCTGCTGTTGCCTCACAGACTTCATGCCCAGCTCCCGTGTGAGAAGGGGCATGTTTGTTAACACTGTGTTTGTTTTAAACTCATAAGAGAGTGAGTACACTGCCCATGTATTGTATACAATTAGGGGAAAATATAATAAATACTGAGGTTTTGGGGTTTTAGATCTGGACTCTTGTGTATATACTTGATTTCCAGTGACTGGCTTGCTTCCCATTTTTATATGTTTTTCTCAAATGAATAATAATCTGTAGGGACTTTTATACTTTTAAAATTCAATGTAAAAATAATTTTTAGCCAGCGTAGTGGCACATGCCTATTATCCCAGCACTCTAGAGGCTGAGGCAGGAGGATTGCCACAAATTGGAGGCCAGCCTGGGCTCCATTGTGAGTTCAAGGCCAGCCTAGATTGCTTAGCGAGACCCTGTTTCAAAAAACAAAACAAATAAAACTAATTTTTATAAATTGGTATATGATTACAAACACAAAAATTGTATGCCTAATTCTCCATTTTCCCTAAAAAACAAAATAAAACAAAAAACCCAGCTTCTTGTCCCTCCACCCTTTTTTTATTTAAACAATTTTATTCCCTTTCCATCCATTGAAAATGAGAATGGGTACTTAATGAAAACATTTAACATTTGTGAAGAACAACATGAAAAAAGTTGAATGTCATCGTGCTTACAGAAGATTCCTTTGGAAACTTTATGAATCACGTTTATTTTTAGTAACTTAATGAGACCTGTCTCAAAATAAAAAATTTAAAAAGGGCAGGGGATATAGGTTAGTGTGAAGGCTCTGGGTTTAATCCCCTGGAGAGACAGAAGGAGGGGGGGGCGGGAGAGAGAGAGAGACTGGGAGGAGTAGGAGGTGTGGTAAAGGAACTGGGAAGGGTAACTGCAGGTGCACTTGGAACAGTCACTTCAATTCAATGTGCGTGTCATTTCATAACCCAGATACATTCAAATACAAATTTTGGCTGGATGATAGTGTGGGCTAGTACATTTGTTAGGGAGCTTAAGCAAATAATGATTAAAAACTCTGTTCCAGGACCGAGGGAGGCCTGTGGTAGGTCAGGTGAAGTACTTGATTGGGAGGCAGGAGAGGTAAGTTTGAGTTTTGCCATCAACTAGAAATATGACATTCAGTGACTCAGCTTGGCTTTCCTGGGTCCTCCTCTGTAAAATGAGCAAAGCAGCCTAGATGGTCTTCAGGGTCATAGGTATTTTAGTTTGTCTCTGGTTAGAGGAAAAATGTTCTATGAGTAGTTGGGTGTCATTACTTATGGTAAGAAACTATATGTCTAGGAAGGAAAAGTGAATAGTTGTTGATTGTTCAGCTAGTCTTTATCTGAGAGTGATTGAATATCCTGACAAATCAAATAGTCATGGAGAGTTTAGGATGAATAACTGTGATTCTGCCTTTCTCCCTTCACTTCCATCTCCAGCCCTACTGTCCAGAGACACATTTTAAAGGCTATTTCACTATTTCTGTGTTTAGCTTTTCTGTGATTATTTCCATAGGCTATATAATGTGTTTAAACTTCTGTTCCTTTATTTATCAATTTTAGACAATATTTGGATTTTTTTGATATGAAAAATAAGAATTTAACTTTTTTATACCCTCTTTTCCATCACTTATATTTGATATATTATTTCAAAGGTCATGGGTTACCTTTATAATTTTAAATTTTATTTATTTATTCATTTATTTATTGATATAGAGGTCTCACTGTGATGCCTCAAAGCTACAGTTGTCCTATCCAGCCCCCCAAATATCTGGGATTACAGGTGCACACTTTTGTTTATTTATTCACTTTTGGCAGTGCTGGGGATTAAACCCAGGGATCTGTGCATGCTAGGCAGACACTGTACCACTGAGCTACATGCTCAGCCCAGCTTTCAGAATGAAGGTTGTAGGGTTTCTTAGCTTGCTGTTTTGGAAAATGGGTTTATAAATGCCTCTATACTTTCCTCTTTCTGTATTCCACCTTCCAACAGCTCTACTTTATCACTTCTTTGCTTGTTTCCTTCCTTCCTTTTTTTTTTTTTAAGACATGGTCTCACTATGTTGCCCAGACTGGCCACAAACTCCTGGGCTCAAGTGATCCTTCTACCTCCTGAAGATTTGGGACTATAGGTGCCTGGCTGTACTTTTTATATTATAAGGCTAATAGGTTAATATTTTTATTCTTCCCTCTAACTACCACCAGGAACTGTCTGCTTATCTCTGTTTGATTGCTATTTTTTACTGTATAGCTTCTCTGTGCCTGCCATTCAGTTTTGTTTTTTTTTTTTGGTACCTGGGATCGAACTTGGGTCATTGTGCTTGTGCAGCAGGTGGCGAAACCACTGAGCTAAATCCCCGGCCCTGCCATTCAGTTTTTAATGACCTTTAAGAGCCAAAGAAATGGATGTGTGCTTAAAGACTTAGCTTAGTAAACTATTTGTTCATTCATTTATTTAATAGTTATTGAATACCAGAATTACTGTTAACAGTGTTATTCATAATAGTGAAAAATTTGAAATGACCTCAGTGATTGACTTTAGAGGATTAGAAAACTAAGTCCTTTACAGTTTTACAGGGAATGCTTTAAGCATTTTTTAAATGATGTGAAAAATGTTAATATTATAAATTTTACTGTATTAAATAAAAATACTTATAAAATTGTACAATATCAGCTGATATTTGTTTAAAACAACATTATGAACTATATAAGAAACTGGCAAGCAACTACTGGAACTATCTACATCAAATTGTTAACTTGGCGATGGCTTTCTCAGGTGATGGTGATTTGAATTTTTTTTTGTTTTCTCACATCTGTATTTTTTAATTACCTAAAAAGATGTGTCGCTTCTATAAGCATATTTTTTAATGTAAAGATACAAACATGCCAGTCATAGTTCTTATTGGAATACTCATGTTGAAATAAGGTAGGAGTCCCTGGTAAGAATTCAGTTTGGCTGAGCGTGGTAACTCACACCTATAAACCCAGCTCTAGAAGGCTGAGGCAAGACCTTGAGGCCAGCCTGATCTATATAGTGAGACTTTGTCTCAAAAAGAAAAAATAAATGAGAGAAAAACTAAGTGGCAGAGATTCATACATCTGTGACATTGGTACTTTTACACTTTCATAATTTTACACAGAAGCAAGTCCTTTTCAGTTATGTCATGTCCTGCAGAAGCTAGGAAACAACTTTCACTGCAGGTCAGTGTGCAGTGACAGAGCCAGCAGAATTGAGGCCTGCCACAGAAGCAGCCAGGCAACAATGCTGTGTTTCACAGTGCAGGGTCTGAATAAAAGTGTCCTTTGTGTTGATCTCAGACTGAGAGGCGGGACTTATGGCAATTTATGTTATTTTTCCTTAATGGAAATTGAGGCAGTCTCTAATCTGCTATCACATGACAGCTACTTATTTGATTTTTGGTAATTTGGGAGCAGCTGTGGGCAAACAATTATTCTGCAAAAAGAGCCAGGCCAGCTGCATTCTGACCCCATCACAAGTGCCTGGGCATACCCAGTTTGCCAGCCACCATGTTTCTAAATCAGGTATAGTTTCAGCAACTCACCTGCTTTTTATTGATATTTGTAGCTGCTAATAAGCACATAAATGTTTGCAAATGCATTTTTCTAATCCTTTTTTATTATTGTCACCAACATTTATTAGGTACCTACTCCATTCAAAGCACTGTGCCAGAACCTGGGTTGTAAACTGTAACGTGGTGTTCAATGTGGATAGACTGCTTTCCTCTTTGACAGGTGGGTCAGCATTAGCTTTATTTTTAGCAGACTGAGTTTGAGTGTAAAGAAAGCATGTGGTGTGGAGGCAGCCGAGAACTGTGTTCCTTTGAACCTAGACTCACCCTGTCTGTGCTGTCTGGGTGTTCATTGATGCTTCTTTGCCATGCCATGTTCTTCCTTCTGAAGCCTGAAGACTCTCTTCCCCTTCATGATCCTGCCCCACATCCTGGTAGTCTTGACTTCACAGTGTTCTCTTAGCCCATGGGAGTTCTCAATAGAATAGGATTTGTTCTTTTAATTGACAAAGCCTACTTACCTAACTTTTTGGGTTTCTTGAGATAGAATCTCACTCTGTAGTTCAGGCTGGCCTTGAAGTCACTATGGAGCCCAGGTTGGCCTCCAACTCACAGTGATCCTCCTGCCTCAGCTTCCCAAGTGCTAGGATTATAGGCATGTGCCACCATGCCAAATGAAACTTGTCTAAGGTGACAGTAAGTGGAAGAGCAGGGGTTCAAATCCTATATTGTGGCTTCACAGTCTACAGCAGTGAGGATCAATGTTGAAGCAGATAATGGAGCAGAGCACAGGGGAAACTTCCCCAGACCCTTGTACACATTGGGTCCCGTGTACAGTAAGAAAAATGCTTAAAACTTAGGGATAAAATTTTGCTGGTATCTCCTACTTCTCTTTTTATGTGTACCCTCTTCCTACTTCTAGGTGTCCCATTTCTCTCTTTGTGAAGCATTTTATAATCTTTTAATGATTTGTTAAACCCAAGATTTTGTGCTGAACTTCATCAGTGTGTGAACACAAAAACCCTAATGATGGCCTTATAAAAATGGCCCCAGAATCACTTCTTTATTGGGGTCATACGAAGCCCAGACTGCTGCTCAGCCGTGCTCTATGAGTAATTTCTAACGAGAGTACATAGTTTCTTTCCTTCAATCTGAGCCCAGGAAACCACATGAGGTATTTTCAGAGGTTAACTCTAGGAATTGGTCACACAGGTGTTAGAAGGCTGAAAGAAGAAAAAGTGGGCACTGAGCTAATCCAAACAGGAAGCTGCTAACCCCCACAGGCTGGGAGAACAGAAGAGTGGAATCTAGGAGTTCAAGAGTGGCTGTATGCAGCTGGCAGGCTGACTGGAGAGGGATGCCCTGAAGCTGGGGCTGAACTGCTGGGGCAGAAGCCAGGGCGCAGCTGGAATAGGAAGAGCAGCTCTCCTCTGGTACTGGAGTAACGCTGATAGGAATGAAAGCAGCAAGGGAATACCCTCTCCCCTCTTGAGTTCTTCCCATACAAAACCTTTGGAGGAATCTGACAAGCAAGTCTGGAAAATGTGGTTGGCTGACCGAGGCTGGAGCGGAGTGTAGAGCAGCTCTCAGCACCCCTCATTGTGTATCTGTGGATTTAACCAAAATATTAAAAAATATTCAGAAAAAAACTGCTTCTGTACTGAATGTGGTATAGATGTTTTTCTTGTCATTTTCTAAAGAAATAAAGTTTAACAACTAACTTAGATAGCATTTACATGTGTAAGGTGTTATAAGTTATCTTTATGGTTTCAAGTATGGAAAGGTAAGCATAGATAGGTTCTGTGCAAATATTGTACCATTTTATATTATATACGTGAGAAATTTTTTCCCCCCTATATTGTGCCATTTTAAATAAGGGATTTGTGCATCCTTGAATTTTGGTATCCACGAGGGTCTTGGAGCCAATTTAGAAATGAGAGATAAGAAGTAAATATCTTGTACAACCTTATAGGGAAGTTACAGAAACTGTAATTGCCTGCACCTAGCTTTAGTAATTAAAATATGAACCAAATTACACCCAAGCATGTATTAAAGGATGAATTGTGACAGATACTATTCAGAGAGACTTCATGTACCCAAGTCCTGCTTTCATTGAGCTTATGATATTCATGAAATCATGAGTAGATATCTACCCATCTTTAAGTCATCGTGAAGTTATATGCTAAAGCTGGTTATATATTATATAAAGGCGTCATTATTAACCAGACTTTTGGGTTATTATAAATATTAATGACTGTTTACAAATTTAATCAATATATTGAGATGAAAAATATTGTGTGATTATAGCCATATCAATTTCTCTGAGCCTGGCATGGTGGTGCATACCTGTAATCCCTACACTTTGGGTGCCTGAGGGAGGAGGATAGGAAGTTTAAGACCACCCTGGGCAAATTAGCAAGTCTCTGTCAAAATAAAAAATAAAAAGGGCTGAGGATGTAGGTCAGTACAAAGATTCTGGGTTCGTTATTATCAAAGCAATAATAACCCTGGAACTCCAAAATATCTATATCATTTTTCTTAATTTATCAAACTTGGACCTTATTAACTTTTCTTCTGTGAAATATAAGGATTACTATTTTATAATATTCCTTCATTTCTCCATCTGTTTTATTGCTTGTTTTTTGAAGCAAAATCTGGCTGTATAGCCTAGGCCAGCCTTGAATTTACTATGTACCTCTATAGGCTTAGCCTTGAACTCACAATCCAGCCTCCGTCTCCCTTGTGTGGAGATTATAGGTGCCACTGCCCTGAGCTTTCCCCCTCTGTTTTTGATAGCTACGTTGTAATATTAAATTCTTCCTTTTCATAGGGGTATTTTCTGTTGCCTCCCCCCATTATCAGGAAAAGTACATACTGCTCCTTCCCCTCCTACTTCCCGATTTCTGTCAGGCTTATCTTTGCTTTTACATTGTCAGATCTTTTACATTCTGCCTGTCTCCCTCCCTCCCTTCCTTCTTTCCTTCCCTCTTTCCTTCCTTCCACCTAGTCATATGAAATGACAATTTTTTCCCTACAAATCACATATCACTCTTTATAAGAGAATGTTCATGGTCAAATGGTTTCTTTAGTCTTAAGCTCCATTTTTACTCAGAATTAAGCCACATTTTACCTTGCTTCTATTTTCACTCTGACTTTTTTGTGCAGTTATTTGTTTTTCTGCTGTGGTGCAATTTTGATCCCTTGCTGTGTCCCCCAAGAAGCAAACCCCATCGTTGACTTTAGGCTTTTTTGTTCTTTTGAGAGTAATTTCTATATATATTTGAGATTCTAGATGTGTCCAAGAATGTAAATTGGGCCTCTCTAGGTTTTCCTGTAGACACAGGCTTAGTTTGAGATTTTCTCTTAGGCAGTTCTTGCAGTTTTTCTTTTGATATGATAATGTTATTGATTGGACTAATGCTTTCTTTTACATTTAGTTATACTTTGATTAGCTTTCCTGGCCTGTTCTTTCTACTTTGATTTTTAAAATACTCTGCACTTAATCTCATCCATTTTGTGTAGATTAGATTAAATTTGACTCCCTTGGACAATTCCTCTGAATTCCAGTAGCTCTCCAGGTATTATTGACCCTGAGTACCAGGTGCTCTGAGGAGTCCTTTTCTGTGCTCTTTTCCACTGTCTTTCGTCCACTGTAATTGATTCGGAAGGGCAAAAGTAGAAACTCCTCTGTACCAGATTGCACCCCAGGTGATGGCAGATCAGGCTGAGAAAGAGATTTTCATAACGTTGTTACTGTGATATTATTTGAGGGAATGATTTTTTGAGAAAATGAAGTGTTGACTAATTTGTTGAACACCCCTAGCACGGGCAGGCTAGAAAGGTAAGTAAGGCTTTTTATTCGGATCATTGCGCAGGTACTGTCATCTTCTCAGTAATTCAGAAGTATCCCTGTCAGCTCCACCTAGGCCCCCAGCCCCCACAGTCCTGGGCAGTGCTGGGCATGGAACCCATTCATGCTAGTCAAACACTGAGATATTCCCTAGCTGTGGGCCTGTGTTTTGTGCACTGTCAAGAAATTATGGTAGAGGCATTGGTTTCCTAGTTTCTTTATGTCTAAAAGAAATGTATTTCACTTGCTGGAGTTAATACAATATAGGGCTTTGTAGTAAAAATGTCTTGCACATAATTAAGGAAACCATATCCTCAGAGATGGATGTCTAATTTAAAGATGAAACTGAGGCTCAGTGCCTGGGAGACTAGTCTGATAATGAATCAGAAAGAATGGAATCACAAAGTCACATGGATTCTGACATCATTATAATTAATGTGCCGGGCACTGTGTTCCTGACTTTATCTGGATCATTTCATTTAATCCTCACATCATCCTTTTGAGGATAGATAATGTCATTTTTTTTTCATTTAAAAAATGATAGAATTGAGGCTTTGAGGTTATTAACTAACTTGCGCAGGGGTTCTGGAAATCTGTGCTGTTTTTAAAAATGCACATTGTCTAATATATTTTCACCTATTAGCAGTTCTCATCAGTTTTGCTAGCCAGAGAATCTGACTCCTCATGGATGAAAGCTAAAATGCCTCACTAAAATTCACTTAAGGGGAGTGGAGTGCGAGATCTCTAGCAATATGTGCATGTCACTCATATCTGGCTTTAGACAACCTGCTTAATTTATGATTTTATGAAAGCGCTGAAAGCAACATTTACAAGTGTCTCACTCTGGCTCAGAGAAGTTAGAAATACCTTTATCTTTGCTTTTTAGAATGCAGAATACAAATGGTTAGACTGGAGGGTGGGTTGGGGGAGGGAGGTGAAAAGAGATGAGGCAATAGCAAAAGTGACAGGCTTATGAGGCAGCCATTCCTATTGATTTATGCTGTGAACTCCATTCTGGAGCAAAGAACTGAAATCCATTATGCCAAGTGCACAGCGTACAAATCCCTTTGAAAAGCAGTTAGATGCCATCTAATCCCAAATCATTTAAAAACAAATTTGAAGTATCCAGAATTCTAAAATGCCCTAAGCAATTTGCCTCTTAGCCTAGAAGAATAGTGAAATGATGGGAAAATCGCGTTTTATTGGTATTTTCCTCTCGTGTATTATGTTTGTGTGACTTGGTGTGTTGAATTACTTTTAAAATAAGTAAATATCTGAGGGCTAGGCTGTATTTCTTGGGTATTCTGAAACTCACACCAAATGTAGGATTTGGAAGAAATAGGGCAGCTTATCGGGTACCTTTGTTTAAAATTTTTTTCTTAAAAATGTGCCACAATCTCAGATATTTAGAAAAGTTGCAAGAATAACACAAAAAATTCTCATATACTTTTAGATCTTCCAAATGTTAACATTTTACCTTGTTTTCTTTCCCCTTAAAAAATCTCTACTAGATACATCATCTTTTACCAAACACCTCTTTAAAAACTCCATTTGGAGAAAGGAGAGTATTAGTTTGTTTTTGTTTTTTTTTTTTAATGAAGAAGTTTGCTACACAGAGACACTGGGCTAGGTAGATGACTTCAGGCAGGAAAGTAAGTTCATATGGTGGAGTGGAGTGGTTCCTAATCTTTTTGGATTTGTAGCACCTTATGGTTGTTTCATTTTATAAAGTGAATTTTACTTTGAAATACAGAATACTCCTTGAGCTAAATGAATAAGCCCAAAGTAAATAATTACTGGGTTAGAAGAATGAGCTGTCATATGTATAATGGTACAGGAGTGAGAAGAGACAATTAAAAGGTAGAGCAAGAGAAAGATTGGAAATTGCACAGGAATATAAAACAGGATCAAGAGTCTCAGATTAAAGCAAGAATTTGATCATCTACATGGAAATAGTTGCCCTGAAAAAGAAAGTCAGCAAGATGGGGCTTAAGGAAGCAGTTACACAGCAGCATAAAGGATTTTAGAAATCTTCAAAATGAAAAATGAGACTTTTACAATAGAGCAGAGTAAAAATAAGACCTTTGCATAAATAATTATTTTTTTTCCATATAGCTATAAAAGTCTTATTTCTGTATCTATATGGTTGCCCATTTCTTTTGGTAAATTGGATATGCAGTGCTGTCTATTATTATTATTATAGTCAAGTTTTGAATTTGTGTATGTATTTGTGAGGGTTTATGCAAGTAGAGAAATTAATGCACAAGTTAAACACTCAATTTTTCAGTATGGATCAAAATTTAAAATACACATGCCCTTTAAAGCCATGATTTTACATTCAAAAATTTATTCTTAAAACAATTATCAAGTAATACGTAAAATTTTATTTTATTTATCTATTTATTTTTGTACCAGGGATCGAACTTGGGTCCTTGCCACTTGCGCAGCAGGCGGTGAAACCACTGAGCCAAATCCCCGGCCCATACGTAAAATGTTTAATAAACATAATCAGGGCTAGTTTTATTTTTTAAGATTAGCCACTTATTTGTACAGAAGTTATACTATTGGCCTGGGGATTTAGCTCAGTGGTTTCGCCACCTGCTGCACAAGCACAAGGACCCGAGTTCGATCCCCGGTACCAAAAAAAAAAAAAAAGAAGTTATACTACTGTCAGGGATTTTTTTCTTTAATTGCAAGTTGTGATGAAGTATAGGTAACAAATTTACCATCTTAACCATTTTTAGGCATATAGTTCAATAATATTAACTACATTTATATTATACATGGGATCTCTAGAACTGTTTTATATTATAAAACTGAAACTTTTATCCATTAAATACTTCCTCTTTTCGCCATTCTCCTCTCCCTCAGGCAACTACTTTTCTTTCTTTAGCTATGATTTTGACTACAGTAACTACCTTATGTAAGTGGAATCATACGATATTTACTCACTGTGACTGGGTTATGTCACTGAGCAAAATATCCTCAAGGCTCATTCATGTTGTAGCATGTGTCAGAATTTCCTTTTTTAAAAACTAGTTTCAGGGCCAGGGATGTAGCTCAGTGGTGCCACGCCTGCCTGGCAAGTGCAAGGTCCTGAGTTCAATCCCCGGTTCCAAAACGAAACAAAAACTACTTTCAAATAGACTGTATTTTAGAGCAGTTTGAAGTTTATAGCAGAATTGAATGGAAGATACAGAAACTCTCATATGCCCCTACTCTCGTATATACACACTGCCTCCCCCACTGTCAACATCCTACACCAGAGTGTAGTACATTTGTTCTAATAGATGAGTCTACATTTGTACATCATTCTCACCCAAAGCCTGTAGTTCACATGAGGGTTCACACTTGATGTTACACATTCTGTATATTTGAACAAATGTGTAGTGTCACAGGTCCACCATTATAATGTACACAGTAGTTTCATTGCCCTGAAAATCCTCTGGCATCTACTCATCCCTCTTTTCCCTCCAGTTCCTGTAAATCACTGACCTTTCACTGTCTCCATAGTTTTGACTTTTCTAGGTCATACACTTGAAATCATATAGTATGTAACCTTTTCAGATTTGCTTCTTTTACCTAGTAATTCATTTAAAAGGTTCTATGTATTTTCATGGCTTTATAGGTCATTTCTTTTTAGTCCTGAGTAATATTTCATTGTCTAAATGAACAACATTTTTGCATCTGTCCACTTACTGAAAGACATCATGGTCACTTCCAAGTTTTAACAATTGCAAATAAAGATTTAAAAACATCAGTATGCACATTTTTGTATAGACTTAAAATTTTAAATTCTCTGGGTAAATACCAATGAAAGTAATTGGGGATCATATTTTAAGAGTTGAGCTTTGTAAGAAATTGCCATATTGTCTTTGAAAGTGACTGTGCAGTGAGTGTGAGAGTATCTCACGCAAATGCTGTCCCCGGCCCTGTTATTGTTGAGTTTTAACAATTCTTTGTTTGGGCCTGGGGATTTAGCTCAGTGGTTCCGCCGCCTGCCTCAAAAGCGCAAGCACCTGAGTTCAGTCCCTGGTACCAAAAAAAAAAGAATTCTTTATTTTGATTAACAGTTCTTTACTGGATATTTCTTTTTGCTGATATTTTCCTCCAGTCTGTGGGCTTGTTTTGTCATTCTCTTGACAGTATCTTTCACAGAGCAAAGTTCTTTATTTTAATAAAGTCCAGCTTATTAATTCTTTTATGTATCTTGACTTCAGCATTGTATTTAAAAGGTCATTGCTGGATTTTCTAGGTTATCTAGATTTTCTCCCATGTTATCTTCTAGGATTTTTACTGTTTTGCACTTTGCATTTGGCTGTATCATCCATTTTGAGTTTATTTTTGTGAAGAATGTAGGATCTGGTCAGGCACAGTTGCGTGTGCCTGTATAATCTCAGCTACTGAGAGGCTGAGACAAGAGGATCTCTTAAGCCTAGGAGTTCAAGGCCAGCCTGGGCAAAATGCCAAGAATACACACACACACACACACACACACACACACGCACGCAAGGTCTGTATATTAGCCTTTTCCTACCGCTGGGACAAAATGTTCAACACCTGAAAATTAAAAAAAGAAGAGGTTTATTTGACTCATAGTTTCAGAGGGTTCAGTCCACAGTCTACTAGCTCCAAGGCAGAAACAGCATGGTGTAAGGGCATGGCAGAGGAAAGCTGCTCAATATATCACAACCAAGAAGGAGAGAGAGAAAGAGCCAGAGATATATATATATCTCTTCTAAAAGCATACCCTTCCATGATGTACCTCCAGTTGGGCCTACTAAGAACTCATCAGTAGATTAACCCACTGAGAAGTATAGCATCCCCATGATCTAGTCACTGTCCAAAAGCCCCACCTCTGAACACATGAGACTTTGGGTGTACATTTTTGAGCTAAATCTTAGCAGTATGTGTGTAGATTCAGTTTTTTAAAAATCTGTGGATGTACTTTTGTTCTTTCCTGGATTTTTTTTTTTTTTTGTACCAGGGATCGAACTTGGGACCTTGTGCTTGCGAGGCAGGTGCCGGAACCACTGAGCTAAATCCCTGGATGTACTTTTGTTCTAGCACACTTTTTTTTTGGTACCAGGGATGGAATTCAGGTCCTTGCGCTTGCACAGCAGGCGGCAAAACCACTGAGCTAAATCCCCCGCCCTAGCACACATTTTTTAAAAGACAATAAATATTTGCTAAGCCTTCGTGTTGATTTTGTTCTTTGTCAGAAATCAATTGACTATATTTATATGGGTCTATTTCTGACCTCTTTATTCTGTTACATTGACCTAGTTATTTTGTCAATACCATACAGTCCTGATTACTGTAGGTTTACATAGTAAGTCTTGGCATCAGCTAGTGTCAATCCTCTTACTTTGTTCTTCAGTTATTCTCTTAGCTATTTTGGATCTGTTGCCTCTCCTCTCTCACACACTACTCTCAGTTTGTTGATATCGGCAAGATAACTTTATTGAGATTTTCATTGGGATTATGTTGAATCTAGAGATGAAAGAACTGACATGGACAATATTTAGTCTTCTTGTCCACAAACAGACTATTCATTTAGTTCTTTGATTTTTTAATCAGAGTTTCATAGTTTACCTCATGGATTTTATTCATATTTTGTTAGATTTATAACTTAGCATATAACTTTTTGAGGGGCCTGATATAAATTGTGTCATAGTTTGATTTTAAACTCTGCTTCTCATTGCTGATACACAGGAAGACACTGACTTTTGTATATTCACCTTGTATCTTGCAACTTAGCTCTAATTGCTTTTGGTTCCAGGAATTCTTTGTTGATTGTTTTAGATTTTTTATATAGGCACTCATGTCATCTATTAACAAAAGACAGTTCTGTTTCTTCTTTCCCAATCAGGATACCCTTTCTTTCTTCTTCTTTTTTTTTAATCCTACTGCACTAGCTAGGACTTCCAGTTCAATATTGAAAAGAAATGGTGAGAGGAAACATCCTTGTATTGTTCTTGATTTTAGTGGGAAAGCGTCTAATTTCTCACCATTAAGTATAATGTCAGGTGTAGGGTTTTTTGTAGATGTTGTCAAGTTAAAGACATTCCCCTTTATTCCTAATTTGCATTTTTTTCCTTTTTAAGGCTGAATAATATGTGGTATATATTACCACATTTTGTTTCCCATTCACCCATTGATGGACACTTGGGTAGCTTCCACCTTTTGGCTATTGTGAATAATGCTGCTCTGAACATGGGTATACAAATATCTCTTTGAGATCCTGCTTTCAGTTCTTCTGGGTAAGTACCAGAAGTGAAATTGATAGATCATATGGTAGTTCTATTTTAAAGTTTTTGAGGAATCAGTATATAAAACTTTTTATACAAGGATGTTCACTGCGCTGATGATTTTAACAGCATATTGGAAGCAGCCTTCATCAGTAGGTGATTGGTTACATAAATCATGATATATCCATATAATAAATTTTCTATAGCTATTTTAAAAAGACATGGTAGATATGTCCATTTTAACATGTCAAAAAATGGCCAGATGTATTGTAATATGAGAAAGGCAAACAATATATGTGATACAAACCTATGCTCCTTTTTTTTTTCAAGAATAATGAACTTTTAGAGAAGGGAAGGAACTTACAAATATGATATATAGGAGAGCAAACTTTTAATTTGCTGCTTTACAAATTACCGCATCATTTTAGGGTTTGCAAGAAGCGCAGTTTTGTAAGTAGAAATATTAATTTGAATAATTATATTTTGGGATTAAAAACATTTAGCTCCCATTTGCCTTTGAAATACAAAGAAAGTGTTAAGTATTAATTTATGTATTAAGTGTTTTTATCCCTACAATGTCAAATTCTAGTCACTGGGATACTTTAAGTATCTTTCATTGTTGTATTTAAATATCTTTTTATTGTTATATGTATTAAGGGGACTTATTGTTCTGTGACCTGACTGGAGTGAATTTCTTTCTTTTTTTTGGTACTGGGGATCGAACTCGGAACCTTGCGCTTGCAAGCGAATTTCCATCAAAATGATTTCACATCAGGAAAATTTTCCACCATTTTTATATCATATTTGAATGATATTTTCTATTTTCCGTGTCTGGGTGTGGTGAGATAAGTGGTAAAATCAGGGGCTTGTCAAAGTTTGTCTGCTGTTTGTTGAAGCAAGTACCTCTTAGTTTAGCATTGTTACATTACACACTGAGCCCTCTTCTTTTCCTTTTTTTTTCCTGCCAGTGGATCTTCATGGAGGAACACGGGGTGACCCAGACTGAACACATGGCGACCATAGAAGCCCATGCAGTGGCCCAGCAGGTACAGCAAGTCCATGTGGCCACTTACACTGAGCACAGCATGCTGAGTGCTGACGAAGACTCCCCATCCTCCCCTGAGGACACCTCTTATGATGATTCTGATATACTCAACTCCACTGCGGCCGATGAGGTGACAGCCCATCTGGCTGCTGCAGGTAATGCTTGGATTGGAAGTTGTTGTTGTCGTCGTCGTCGTCGTCGTCGTCGTCGTTGTCGTCGTCGTCGTCCTCCTCCTCCTCCTCCTCCTCCTCCTCCTCCTTCTTCTTCTTCTTCTCTTTGCTTCACTTGTGCTACCATGCTAACTGAAAGAGCTTAGGATTCAGACTCTCATGTTTATCTTCATGACCTTTTTTTTTCTTCTTCTTTAAGTGTTGGAGATCAAACCCAGGGCCTCTGGCATGTTCTTATCACTAAGCTACATCCTCAGCCCCTCAAAATGTTTTGTTACATTTCCAACTTAAGGAGCCTAAATTATGCTGAGGATGGAATTCTATATTTACTGTTAGTATTATGGTTTGGTTTTGTTTTCTTATTCATTTTGACAGTCTTCTGACATTGTTGTTGTTGTTTTGAGACAGAGTGTCTCGCTATGAACTGGCCTTGAACTCACTCTTTAGCCCAGTCTGGCCTCAAACTCTAAGCAATCCTCCTGTCCTCAGTCTCCTAAGTGCTGGGGTTATAGGCATGCACCACCACACCCAGGCATTTGTCTCTAAGCTTCATTTTACATAGTTTCTTCTTTCTTCTAATTTATTAATTTTCCTCTTAGCTGTCTAAAATACTTTAAAATATGTCCATTGTATTACTAATTTTGATAATTGTTAATAGTTTTGGTTGGTGGGGTTTTTTTCTCCCTAGATTTAGGATTTTTTTTGGTGGGGGTCGGGTTTGGGAACGGAACCCAGGGGCCTTGTGCATGTTAGAGAAGTGCTTTCCTATTGAGCTACAACCCAAGCCTTAGAATTTCTAGTGTGGTTTTATTTTTCACCAGCAAATACTGTTAACAATTTCTAATTGTGTAGTGAAAAAAAGCTTTTAAAAATTTCCCATGAGTAGAATTAACATGATTTTACAGTTTATCTGGTAACTCAACTTTAAACTTTTTTTTTTCTATCTTGCTGTCTATTACTGTCTTTCTCTCTTTTATTTTCAGTACTGGGAATTGAACCCAGGGCCTTTGCACTGAGCTATATTCCCAGTCTTGAGTGAGGTAGGGGGACTACTGGGAGATTGAACCCAGGGTGTTCTACCTCAACTCCCCCCACCCTTTTATTTTGAGATAAGGTTTCCCTAAATTGCCCAGGTGGAGTCAGTCTTGTGATTCTCCTTCCTCAGCCTCTCTGAGTGGTGGAATTGCAGGGGTGAGCAACTGTATCTGGCTCCCAGGCCTTTTTTAAAATTTGAGATGAGTTCTTGCTAAGTTGCTAAATTGCCCAGACTGGGCTTGAATTACCTGCCTCAGTCTCCCAGAGTGGTGGGATTATAGGCATGAATCACCATATTGGTTATATTTAAATGAATGCTGGACAATGTGCTTGGAAAGTTATTTTTAGAAATAATTTTGAGCCTAGGATAATGTCATTTTCATCCAGAGATGATTTTGTTTGCTTTGCCAGATGCCTGAGGGTACTAGCAGTCTTGAATCATCTTAACCCAATTTAGGTTTTGAGATTTTCTCTGGGTACTAAATGACTTAATGCTGAGCTATATTTTAAATCATTCTATTTACATTACATGTTTAGCACCATAATGAGAAGACTTCATGTAAACTATACCTGGATGGGTCTAGTGTTATATAAGGAGTATTGATCTTAGAAGATATTTAGGAAAAGCTGGGCCAGAAATCAGTGATCAAGAATTTAGCTCAGTGGTTCCACCACCTGCCTTGCAAGCACAAGATCCTGAGTTTGATATCCGGTATTAAAAAAAAAGAATGGCCTACATGCTACATTTTAAATATATGTGCTATATTTAAGGGGAAGAAGACAGAAGCAGTGAATAATCTTGTTTTTTTTTTTTTTGGTACCTGGGATCAAACTTGGGTCCTTTTGCTTGCACAGCAGGCAGCGAAACCACTGAGCTAAATCCCCGGCCCAATCTTGTTACTATGAATTATTATCCACAGTATACTTTCTGGAATGAGGTAGGGTGCTTGCCTAGCATGTGTGAGGCCCTGGGTTCTATTCCAGTGCTACCAAATTTTTAAAAAAGGGTTAGTGGCAAAACACGTGAAATATTTTTAATAAATATTTTGTGAGATTCTTAAACTTCCCAGAAGAGGGCACCCTAACATAATAAATGTAGATCAACTTCTATGAAAGAAAATCATTTTGAGACTTGGTTTTGTGGTATTACTAAACTGCGTTGTCTTAGTGTTAAGGTTAGTAGATGGCTGGGCATGCAGCTCAGGGGTAGAGTGCCTTCCTAGCACGCATAAGGGCCTAGGCTTGATCGCCAGCAACCTCAACCCCTCTAAAAAAAGAAAAGAAAAGGTCAGGGAAGGAGTTTAGTCTAACATTTTCATTTATCTGATTTGGAAACTTGACACCCAGCTGGTAGAAATGACTTACTGTTTCATCACTCAACAACTATTGAGGGTTTATAATACTAGATATAAATTCTATGAAAAAGACAGCCAAGACCTTGCTCCTGAAGGAGCTTTCAGTCCACTGGTGGAAGAGTAGAAATAATAAAAGCTCTAGAAGTAGCACAGTGAAGTCAGCAGGTAATATAAACAGTATTGCAAGATAGTCAAACTTTTTTGGCATCAATCACCAATATGAATTTTAGAGAACTTCTTAAGCAAAATTGAATTTAGTCTTTTATTTTCTTTGAAGTGTGAAGGGATAGAGTAACAAATTAAAGAAACGGAGAAAGAATTCACATGGTCTATAGTCATAATTAGTACCTTATGAGTAATGTTTTGGTAAGTTGACCAACAAATAGGAAATATTTGACTGTTTGAATATAAAAAACATCAAGATTGATATGACAGACATATATGCACCTACTACCCCGCTCTGTCAGTTATGATTACTGTTTTGTCATATTTACTCAAGCTTGATTTGTTTTAAGAAACAAAAATTACTGATGTGGTTGAAATTTCCAGTGAAGTGTTCCTCTTTTTAATCTTGTTCTTTCCCCTCCACTGAGGTAACTGTCATTTGGATTTGGTCTTTATCATTTGCTTGCATTTATATATATATATATT